CTTTTCCGTGTCATTATACTCCAATGGTTTATTGTACTGTCTTTCTACTCCAATCGTATATTGTACTGCCTTTCTACTCCAACTGTGTATTGTACTGCATTTTTTCTTTGGCCTCAGTCAAATCTGTATTATCAGAATATGTGATAGGAATATACAGTGCAAAGTTCAGTCCTTGTTATTGTCAGTGTTATTAGTCATTCAACAGTAACGTTTTTACCTTCTACTGAAAAACCTCAATCTTGTTATGAAATGAGTAGCAATTTAAATTCTGCTCATCTTAGAAATAATGATAGAAACATTATTTGAACCCACTACCAGCACCAAAGTAGTTAAATGTATTCAGTAGCTTAATTAGCTGCTGTGATAAAGACTTTAGGGATGAAAATTGGCCACCATCTGGTGGATTTCCACTATTTTTATCACTAGATTGGTAATCCATCCAATTCTATTAAATCAGATGAGAAAAATCATGGAAGGAGAGGATTGTTGGGTGTTTATACTAAACCAAAATTGATATATGAGGCTTATTTTAAGTGGCTATTTTACGAACAGCTGACTAATTGCCAAAACATCTTTTGAAAAAAAGGTATCCTAATTCGGAACACCTCGAAAATGTACAATCGGCTAATGTGCAATGGCAGGCAATCAATAAGGATCAGCATAGAGGTAGGCTTTAAATCTTTCGGCATCTGTTTTAATGATGTGCATATTCCTTTACCAATTTGTTTAGAATTTCACAGAACAAACGTTTTTCTTTCACCGGATATAATTCTATGTGTGAAATAATTTAAATGAAGACTAAGATGGAAAGAGGTAGACATGATCCTATGAAAGTTGTGTGTGTCTGGAGGTGGGTGGTACATGACAAAATCGTCGAATTTATTTTCAATAATTAAGGGCTTTTGTATTATAAATGAAAACATCTTACAAACGTATTAAATTTCACAACCTCCGAAATTATTTTCAGTCCCATAAGCTATTTTTTACACGGAAGGTGAAATCGTAGGACTGGCTAATTTCAGATATACAAAAACTGTATTTTAATTACGTAATATATAATCTGCCATTGCGTTATCCAGTGGTGGTTCGTCATAAGAGAAAAAGAAGGCAATGCCTCTCAAAGTTTTCCAACAAATAAAATATATCTTATTTATTTATATTAACCCCTATTCTATTGGTTTGGAGCATACAATTTTTGAAAACTGCATACTTGTGAAGCATGATAAAAAATCTTCTTTTCATGTTCTATGCCATTCATCGAGGTAACGTTTTGTGGCGTGAGTAACAGAACAGTTAAGCCTCTCGTTCTTTTTTTATTCTTTCTTTCATTTGTAAAATTACTCTGTATTTGCGACTGAAAAAGTCGTGAAGAAGCAAGCCTTTTTACAGAATGTAATGGAGATCTTGAGGTCGGCCGCACAGGCAATTGAGACAGTAATAGTCCAGGTCTAAAACAACCAATGAAACACCTTTTAAGAAACGCATTTTAAATTCTCCATAAAAGCGGAAAAAACTGGCACAGTAGATCATTTAGGACAACAACCCAATTCTGAGCAAAGCTTTTATCTGCAAAGTGAATTTTATCGTTGTGAAAGAGAACCCTCGACCAAAAAAAAACAGACATTAGAATGTTGCTGTGCATATTTCCTGGTAAAATATTTGAATTGACGAAGGCTCAAAAGCTTCCAGCTGCACCTTTAATTCATCTGTTCTTTTCTTGAGAGAAATAGCCAAACACCCTAGAATCATAGTAATACCATTTAACCATGTATCAATTAAACTTCCCGATGCAACACCAGTGGGCTTCTGTTGTTTTGATTTACTTAAAGGTTTTCTAGTGTCTTGGAAGCAAGTGCCCACATGCATTAGAAAACCCATAGAAAGGTTGTCAAGATTTGTATTATAAGATTGAATCGCCATCCATCTTAGTAGCTTGTTACAATTGAAATTGCGGAATCTAGCAGAGTGCGTAATGATGACCATCAGTTTGTGCACAATCGACTATGGAAGCGTTATTTCCAAGGGCAAGGCGAGACCCGGAACATTGTTCTTACAAAGATCGTGTATGTTAAAACTAACAAATAACAGGATTGTATTAAAAACATGTATAAATACATATGATTATCTCGTTATACCATAATTGAGAAATTAATATTTTTATCATTAGGTACTGTAAGACTCATTTACATACTCAAAAATTACAAATTGAAATATAAGGCGTTTTCGTCTGACATTGTACAGGACCTGTTTACCTCACTAAAGGCAACCAATAACATTTTTATAAAACAATAAATTATCACAGACTGCCACGTGTGTGTGTGTGTCGTTTTTATAAAACTTTCTTGACAAGAAAGTTTTATAAAAACGACAATGAATTTGTCAAGAAAGTTTTATAAAAATGTCAATGAAATGAGAACAATTAAAGTGTAATATGTGTCAACTTGTCCAACACCCGCAAGTAACACATCCATGTAACTACGTCGTTTCATACACGTGTGTGCAATTCGGGGCATGGACTTCTCTGACAGGGTGCAATTTTTAAAATATTTGAGTAAAAACAGGTGTGTTCAAAAAAGTATAGAACAAGAGGTCGTTTTCCTATTAATAACTCCAGGAAGAGGTCCTGACTTTAAAAGGGTGGGGCTTTTGTCCCACATAGCTTCTTTTTATCTCAACACTGAAAGCCGCCCATCACTCAACTCAATTAGCTACTTAAAGCGGCATTTAATAATGAATTGTTACTGGTATATTAAAAAACACACAATGGGACTGGTAAGCGCTACCTAATATTTGATACAAAGATAAAATTGTATAGTATTGATTGTGCATATATGCAGTACAAATGCAGTATCATATCGATTTGATTAAGTTAAATATTAACTATTTCAAATCCTTGACATAAAATGATATTCATTTATAAAGAAACTATAGTATTCCTTTGCTGTAATCAAAATTTAAACATGCTTTCAAATAATTTAAAAATATTATTAAGTTTTAAAAGTTAACTTAGTTGTGTGTAATAATTAATCCTGTGGTTTTAAGCTCTAATGTCATTATTAAATACACATTTACTGACTAATTGTAACCCCTCATAAACAAAGTTGCATTAATATACCAGTTCTAAGCTTTCCTACATAGATAAACATTAACCTATTCACAACTTTAAAAGTTGTGAATTATGTATAACACATTCAAAAGTATGCCATAGCACTATATCTTGTGTGCTTCAAATCTCAATTTTACCAGCACTGTAAATATACCAATTGAATGACACACACACATATTTTTTTCCTAAGCATTACATGAGTATTGTAGCATTATATTTGCAACTTGATATGATGACAGCTCTGAGCATTTTTATTTAACCACTGTACTATTTTGAGGATTTGTGTTTTTACTAATTGAATTAGAATGTTAGTTTTGAGGAAATTCCATATGCAATATAATTATGAAGTAATTTACTTATTTTATTTCATTTTTGTAGTATTAAATATATTTATTCTCTCTTTAGTTCTATTTATCAATATAAAATGTCAAGCCCCAAGAAAGATCTTCCACTGCTTCCCCCAGCTATTAAGGGTGAATTAGCTCAGTTTGATTCAACAAAATTAAAACAGGCAGAAACGAAGGAAATACAACTTCTACCATCAAACGAAGGTGTGTAATAGTAGTATTTTTAATTTTAGTTTTTTATTCATTACTTTTATAACAGGTTTTTCCTCTTGCATAAATCATCTCTCATATTAGCAGCAGTTCATCTTCAAATTTCAATCAACAAAGTTGAATAGGATCAGAATATTTTTCTGCAAACGATTTTAAAATGTTAGAGCAGTATAATAATAACTTTAAATAAGCATCTAATGAAAAAAACTAAAATAAATATTTTTTTAATTTTCATTTTTTAAAATCTATTCAAAATGATACTAAAATTATAGATGGGCCAAGCATTGCCTAGTAGTTAATTTGTCAGATTGTGAATTTTAGGGTCCATGGCTTGCATTCCCTTGCTACAAATATGTGCTTTGCACTTTGGGAACATGGGTGTGTTATAAGAGTAATGGTCAAATACCACCATTTGTTAAATCAGCCCAAGTGTTGGCAGTGAGTGTTGTTGTTGACTATAGTCTGTCAGTTCAAAACTTGGATGATTAATGCAGATAAACCTTGGGTAGCTTTGCATAAATATATCCAAAACAAATAAAAAAACAAACAGTTGTAGATATTATCAATGGTAGTTACCAAAGAGTAAACATCACATTGCTCTTAATAAAACTTGTACACATTGAATGAAACTTTTATGTTCTTAAATTCCACCTCAGAAGAAGAGGATTCTGTTCTTTCTTACTATACAGCTGCCAGTAGAGATTATTAGTATAATCATATTGTTACACCTCCGTTCGTTAGTTAATTTTCCGCAAATTTGTTCCGATGAAACTTTAGCGACACAAGTCCTTTCTTAAATAAAACGGGTTTATTCTTTCTGAATATAACTTTGCGATACACTTAATTTCAACAGTCGCGCTATAACAAACGCTATAATTCTCAACGAACGTCTTACGTGCTCGACTTCAACAATACTCAGTTCAATTACACACTCTCTGACTGCAGTTCAATTACTCATTACCAACACATTGTCCCGTCACGTTACCAGACAACTCCCAATCTATTAATCTCCCGACAATTCACCATGGTTCGAGAAGGAAGTGGCGTGATACTAGTCACGTGACCTCGCTGACGCAACAATATCATGCAGCAAAAACTAAGTAGTTTTGATACAGGGATGTGTTCTTACAATTTTTGTCTCTTAAAATATATCCTATTGTATTCTTTGATAACATTAGATAAGAAGCAAACTTTATAAATTCATATTAGATTTCTCAAGTTACCCAGATTTTAGGTAAACTGCAGGATGGAAATGATTAAATGGCCAATTTTCTTAAATTTACATATAGCAGATTACTTTGGAAGCAAATTGTCTCCAAATAGATATTTTTCCACTTTTAGTAATGTAGTCAGTGTTTGAAGTGGGAGAAAAAAAGAAGTGAGATGGTTTGTGAAATTTTTAAATAAGCCAACTTGTATGATGATGCAAGTGACAAACATGGATGTCATTACCCAAAAGTGGCCTTACTTAGTCAGTGTAATACACATAGCTAGAATATTAAAATCCTAAGAGTACAAGTTTATAATTCTCAATCAACAAAAGAATTCTCTTTCATTATCTGTAAAGTGAAAGTATATGAGTCCATGTATTTCATGAAAGGCAGTTTTTTCATTTGTCATAATTTTCAAACAATGGGAGATATGTTTTAAAGCCATATACTCAAGTCTCTTGAAGTGATTAAGCCACTAATAATTTATTCAACAACTTGCATTCTCCAGTACTTACTGCTTATCTATAAATGTAATATTTAATTTTTGTTCTGTGCTTACAATTAGGACATTTGTATTTAAATTAAAGGATCCTTCATGTCACTTGTTTTAAACACTTGTTTCCACCAGGTGGAACTAAAATGTCTATGTTTTTTATTGTATTCAGATGTTTAAATGGAATTTTTTCTTTTTCTGTGTTTTATAAGTTTTTGTTCATTAACTTTTTACATGTTATTTTTATGGGTTAATGCATGAATAAAGATGTTGAGAAAGAGAACATCTACAACTCATTGCTACAAAATGTTGAGGGATTTCAACATTCCACTCTTTACCACATACAGCCTCAAAAGCGAGTCCATCTTCCCAGTGCTGAAGGTACCACACTTTCATTAATTTATAGCTCTAAATAACTTTTACATATGCTATTTTAATAAGTCAGAATTACAAAATGATGTTAGAAGAGTTTAACAATAATATTTTTTGAATATTAGTATTTTGCATTTCATTAAATTATCAGGTAAATAAGTCTCTTAATTATAATAGTATTTTTTTTCTGTTATGCCATTCACTAAACTATCAGGTATTTTAAAATGTTTTTTTTAAAGTACTTAATGAATTTCATCAAATTATTTTTATGTATAGATATTTTGTAATATAACAATAATGTGATGAAAAATGATGATTATTAGTATGTAGTTAAAAGATTTTTTTATGTAAATGATATGAGTTACTTGGAGTATTATTGTTCTTCATGATCAGCTGTCCTTGTTTTTTAAAAAGTACCTTTGTAATATAACAAGATTTCAGCTGTGAATCATGAACCTTAACTTTTGAGCCTTATAATTATTGTAAAACTAATACTTGTATATCATGAAATATAATTAAGATACCATTACTCTACAGACAGAACAAATGGTTTGCTACTCAAACTTTATATACTTCTAGATCTATAGTGTAATGTTTATCTTGTTTTGGTCTTTATTATATATAGGCTGAATATACCAGTTATGTTAATAGCAGATCACAGTGTTATGAGAGCTATATGACAGTAGACTAATCATATTATAATAGTCATCATCAATAGAATAAATCTTATGTTCAAAATAAAAAAGTTATTGAGATAAAAGACATACCATTTACCAAACCTTTTTCATGTTAATGATATGGAATGAGATGGGTAATTGTTATTATACTCAATTTTAATGTAATTATGAAACTTCTGAAACAGTACAACCTCCTCTCCCTACTGGGTCTATCTCGACCTTCACTTGCTCTATAGGCATTGGTAAACTTTTTAAAAGCACACCAGTTTTTTATACTCTATATTTTTTGCATCATTGCAGCAACATGTGCTGATCATATGACCACCCTCCACCAATTCCATTGCACCCTCTATACTAGTGCATATACTCATCTAAAAATGTGTGTTTTAGTTCTCCATGTGACTGCACAATTTTTGATTGTGCTTGATCACCAACTAATATCAGTTTCAAGTTCAAATTTCTATTCGTCTGTTTTTGAGATGTTTCTGTTTCCTGAATTTTCTTTTGATGATATGAACTTGGGTTTCTTATGATGGTCGATAATTTTCCTGCCATAAGTAGACAGCGGTTATAAAACTAGGCCTCAGTCTCAGGTTTCACGATGTCTGCTGAGAAAGCACAGACTTTCATTCGTGGGGAGTTCATGTCTTATGTTCGGCCAGAGATTTTTTCCTTTTAAGATAAGTATTGTTCTTTTTTCCCAGGAGATCTGTGGTAAGTTTTCAGTGTGTATTTCTTGCTACCCATAGATATACCCATGTTCAATAAGTTTATGTGAATTTGTGTGTATGGATCTAAGTTCCACACCTGATCATTTATGTCATTCGTGTCTTCTCTGGTCAGTGCTGTGTAGGTTAGAATTTCATAATTGTTTTACCATCTGTTATTTTAGTTTACAACTTGCATTTAGAGTTTGTTTCTAGCATTAATTTGGTTTAATATTTTAAATTTCTTCACTGTTAATGTTATTTAGTTACAAGTTCCCATTTTTTTGTATCTTTACTACTAGTCACATCTAATTAGGGATAAGTTTTGAGTCAACCTTTGTTTTTGTTAACTGGTTGCCATTTGATTCTCAGGTTATTTAGGGTAAGTTTTCTTTTTGTGTTTTTTATCTTTTAGTTTCTTTGAGTCAACTCATACATTCTCTGTTTAGGGTCACTTATCTTAGTCTCTTTAATGGTTTTGTACTTTAAGTGTTACTTATTGTTTTATGTTTTACATCAATTTTCTTAGTTTTGCAGGTGTATTACCTTTAAGATCTTTGTAGACTACACCTTTCTAAGTTTTGGCTACACTTTATGACAGTCCTATTCTTTTTACGGGTTCTCTATGAGGGTTTATGACTTCAGTTTTGCTCTCCCTCTACTCACTTCCCAGATCTCCTCCCCTCCTCCTTGGGATCGTACCTTGTCTGGTCATTTTGCTCAATCTGTTCATATCCTACTACACAACAAAGTTATCTAACATGTGGAGCCCACTCAACAAGGAGTTTACTCATGTCCTTCTTTGTCTACCTATACACAGGAGTTTAAAGTCCCCTTCTTGATCTATCCTGACTGTATACTTATCTGCAATCGCCTTGCTTCACCATGGAGTCGTACTTCTCACTTGGATGGGTTGTTATGTCCCAGTGTCACATTCTTTTCTTTGGTTCCTTTAGGTGAGTTTTGCCTTCTTGTTGTGGGCACTCACAGACTGTCTTTCTTTTGATCTGTGTGTGTTTTGTGGAGTGGTATGCTCTTTTATATGTCATCTTCACTTGTTGAGTTTTCAGACTCACATATCATGGATGACAGACTTCTGCTCACCTCCTCCTATGCCTGGTCAGTCACTCACACCCGCTTCCTTATTCTAGAAGCTTCTCAGGTGGGTTTCTTTTCTGTTTGGAGAAGTTCTTTACTACCCCCTCACAATACCTTATTCACTTGGGAGTTCTCTTCACATCCTTTTTTCGTCGAGCCCACCCTTCTCCACTTTGGCTCCAGGATATTGAGCAGCCAGTCACATTTTTCATCGAGAAGGCTTCTCTCCATATCCACATCCTGGTACCTTGGCAGTTCATTGGGCTTCGTATCCTTTCCTGCAGGGGAAAATGGTTTTTGGTTCTTTCTACAATTCCACTATCATCAGCTTTATCACCTTGAAAGGAGGAACCATGTACTGATCTCTGTATAGTCAGACTGTAAATTTTTTTTTACTTGTTTTGTAATAATGACTTTGCTTGTTTTTACTTCATTAGCCTCTTTCTGCAATTTTTCCACATTTTCTCATTTTAATTAATTTAATTCTTGTTGAACTCATATTTGTGACTTTTTTTCTATAGCCTTGTGGCCCTTTTATATATTTTTTTTAATCTCTTGTGTTTTTTCTGTTTGCTTGGGGTGCTCATCTTTCTTATTGTTTGTCTTTTTCTTTCCAGCTATCTACTAATCTACATCTGTCTTTATCCTACTTCTTAGCTTTATCTCTTCTCTTCACCTCCTCACTATTGTTCTTCATCACAACTCTGACAGTCATTATTGGGACACCTGTTCTCTTTTGTTTGCCACTTTGGCTTTTATTTCTTCCTCTACTATCTCTATTGTAACCTTGTTTCCTTTTGGGGGGGATCTTCTCAGTCAAGTTGCTTTTATTTTGGGAGTTTGCATCTCTTCCTCTTATATTTGTGATTTTTGTCTTGTTCCATTTCTTACAAACCAAGTCTTTTGGAGTGTTACAGACTACTTGAAGTCCCCACTTCAGGCTGCTCTCCAGCATTTTGCTATTGTTTCCCTAGTTTCTCATCTATATATTTCATGGGTACCTCTGTTTTTTATCCATCCTCAAGACTAACCTATCTTCTGTTCCTCATGCAATTCTTTCTCTCTTTCCTCAGGGCTGGCCATCTGGTTCTATCTTGGCAGGATTTAGCTATTACTTCCTCCATTCCTTCTCATGAGGCATCTTGCTTGGGCTAGCTGGTCAAACTTTCCATGTCTGTATTTGCTCCCACTTACTGTTTTGTACACAAAAGAGTTTTCCTCATTTTCTTTATGGGGCAGACTCGACCATCTCCCTTGTTGCTTTGCCATATGGTGAATTTGGTATTAGAGGCATCTCTCTCTCATATTCTTTCTACAAAAGGGGTTCTTTCACTTTTGGGGACTTGCTTCTTTAGTAGTGGAGATCACTCTTGTTCATACATTCATTGTGTCCCTTTTAATGGACTCTATGGGTTTGATGGAACATGTTCAGTTCAGTGTTCCCCTTTTCTGCCCTTGTGTCTGTACCTTTCTCTCTACATCCCTCTCTATCATGTTGGCTTAATTACTCCAACACAATCCAGGATATTCCACTTCCCATTCAGCCCGACTTGCATTTATACCCTGATGCATCTCTTTCTGGTTGGGGGCACTTCTTGACACCTCCACTCTCTTCTGGTTCTGGTCCCCAGAAGAGCATTCTTTGCAAATCATATTTCATGAGATGATGAGGCTGTCAACTTCTTTGATTGCTTTTGTCAGCTTATCTTTTGTTGATCCACTTGGACAACTTTACAGGTATCTCTTTGCTGAACCACAAGGGAGGTACTCACTCTCAGGACCTATGCTTTCTCACTCTAGAATTCCTTTATTGCCTGTTGCATGTCATTTCCCAGGGGTTTTGAATTTGGTTGGGTTTGAATTTCATGCAAAGCTACACAGGGGCTCTCTGTGCTAGTTATCCCTAATTTAGCAGTGACAGACTAGAGAGAAAGCAGCTAGTGAATACCACCCACTGTTAACTTTTGAGGTACTCTTTCACCAGTGAATAGTGGGAAGACCATCACATTATAATAACCTCATGGTTGAAAGAGCAAGCATGTTTGGTGACAGGGATTCAAACCTGCAACCTACAGATTGCAAGTCAATTGCCCTAACCATCAAGCCATGGCAAGCCATTTTAAATCTGATGGCATACCACTTGTCTCAACTGGACAGGACTCATTCAAGGAATGATCTTTGCACTCTCTGGTTTTCTAGTGGAATTTCCATTTCAAGTACCCACTGAATGATGCCTTTGTGGTTCCCCTCTTTTGGTCACCAGTCACAGACTCAATTACTCTGGCTGTTGTTGCTCTGAGCCTGGATTGGTCCAATCTCTTTCTCTATGCCTACTCTCCTCCTGTTCTTATGGATTTCTTCAAGGATTTTTTTTTGCCCATTGTTCCCTTCATCTGGTCCTTCTCCCATGTGTGTAGTTATTTGAGCTCTTACATTCCCCCCTTTAGCCCATCCCCATGTTCCTTGTATAATTTGTCTCTTAAGACATATATAATCCACCTTCTCCTTGCTTTTAGTCATTGTTGATCAAACAGTTATGACTTAGATGCCTCCTATACTTTTTGTCTTTGGGGCTTGTTGATGTTGTTTTCAGACTACTCCTATCTTCTAAAGACTTGGGTGGCCTAGGAGGGCTATCAGATGTTTTTCCTATATCTCTTCCCTTTATTTCCTCATTGTATGATTGTGCCACATCTCTTTCTGTATCATTTCAGGAGTTTTCATATATTAAAAAATATGAAATAGTAGAACTTATTGGGTCTACATCTATTACAACTACTGCTATGCCACCTGTTACTGAAAGGCCTTCCTAACTACTCCAGCCATAACACTACCAAATCCAGTTCCAGAATTTAGCTGACCAGTTCAGCATCAGCATATAGAGAAACCAATGGAAGTATGATGGGAAGATACCATGGGAGTCTTACCAGACTTGGATTAAAATCATTTCCAGAGTGAACAGGTGTGATGGTGAACAGCAAGCCATCCATCTTGCTGCCCATTTAATAGGACTATCTTTCACAACATTAAGTAACCTTCCAGCTGAAAACTTAACAACTTTCAAGCATTGGTAAAACTGCCTTATCCAACATGTTCGTAATGTTGCCCCAGAAAGAAATATCCAGACCAAAGTTGCAGAAGAATTTTAAAAGGCTTGTCCAATTATTCTACTGAATGATATATATTTGTTAAGACAAATACCTCCAAATGTCTACACAGGCTCATACTTGTATCTATAGTTGATTTGATTTACACACTAGATAAGTTTAACACCAGTCAAAGCACCTGCAGGTCCTCCTTCCTCCAGTCAGATGGTGATCAATTTTCGTAGATAAATGGACTGTATGCATTGTGAGTAAAGCTCTTGAACCAGACTTCCCTGAATGAACATCTAAACAAGATAGTAGAAGAATCACTGCTGAGCAATGTATATAAACATCTGAATTAATACATATGCAGGATCTACCAAAAAAATATATAGAGATTTAAAACTGCAATAACTGACAACAACATTTGTTGGTATAACTTGTATTTATTATTTATGAAACTGTAGATCAATAAGATTTCATGTAACCATTAAGTATGAACAATAATGTCTGGTAGGTGTTCACTACAAACTGTTGCACACTGGCATACTCTAAGCATGACATCCTCCAGCAAAGATCAAAGTTTCACACATAAGGCTATTATTTCTGTCTTTATGTTATCTTTGAAACCTTGTATTGTTCATGGCTTGTTGATATACACTCTGTCCTTTAAGTGACCCCACAAAAGAAATCTGATGCTGACAAATCCAGGGAATGTGGAGACCAGTTTATGTCTTCATTGCCAGAAATTACCTTGTTTGGGAACAGATCACACAACACTGCCATTGTTGCTTGTACTCTATGACAAGTGACTCCATCCTGTTGAAACTACAATTCCCTATGTTGATGTGTTCAGAAGGAACAACTTTAACACAAAGTTCTCAGTGGTGTGCTCTTTGAGCAGCAGTGGAGCATTCATTTTTTGAGATAAAGCTCAAGAATATGAGAATACAGTTGGATTGTTCACCTGTTCATCATTACAGTTTGAACAATTAATCGTCATTCTGAAAACAACAGACAGTGTTTCGTTCATTAATAATTTGGAAAATATAACTATTTAAAATTCCTACATTTCTTTTGATATATCCTGTATATGAGGAGTTTGTTAAACAAGTCTTACAAAACAGTATGTGTGTATAGCTTTTGAAACAAATAGATGAATTAAATAAATATGTAGAATTATGTATATATAAGTAGACATACATAAAAGTAATGTGTACACCTACTGGGCTAAAGAGATAATAAAAAAAATGTAAAAGCAATATTTGCATTTCTGGAATAAATATCTGTGAATAAGGTGGAAAGTAATGTTGTACAGTTGTCTGGATGAATGTGGTCACTCTCTCTCTCTCTCTTTCTGTATATATATATATATTACAGTTGAGAGAAGTGTTTAAAAGAGTTCATTTTACTTTTTTCCTGCATTGATTAATGAACTATATTTTCAAATATATTAATTAGGAGTAGTTTGTTTATCTAGCCAGCCTAATATTTCTATGAACTTCATGATAAATGATATAAGTAATAAATTTTGCTTTTAATGGATTTTTAGTTTCTTGGCAAATTCATAAATGTTACTTTTATTTACCATTTAAAACTGTTAACATCATGCACCATTTTCATTCCATTAAGATATTTGAATATTTTTACAAATTAATTAGAATTCAAAAATCCATAGTAGAAAGTGTATTGTTGTTACCAAACATAACCCGAGGTGAGAAATTGAATCAGAACTTAGTGTCAAGCACTATTTCGTAGACGTAGTTTACTTCATTGAGGTGCAGGAAAAGTCTGGCCATCCCACAGGATCCACTCAGTTCATTAGTGGTAATTTTATGGATTTACAACACTAAAATTTGGTGTTTGATTCCCTGTGGTGGACAGAGCACAAATAGCCTATTGTGTAGCCTTTTTCTGAAACAACAACTGTTTGATAGCTGTGAGTTCTTTGTTTAGTCATACAGCAAAAAAAAATAAAAAATTTTCAGTGAGCATTTAAAAAGATCCAAAACTCTTATTTAAAGTTTTTTTTTTGTCTATATGCTTAGGTTATTTGGATATCAAGAATCAATATTTTTAGAAAAAGTTTAGGTATTTAGGTTGAGATCTTTCTGAGTAATGTATAGGATAATGAAATTCAGTTGTAATTAAGAGGCTGAAAAGTCATATTCAAAACATGTCTTTGATGTTGTATAATCAACTAACAGGTATTTAGTGTTTTCCCTTAATAATCTAGATTTACAACGAGAGAGAAGACACTATAACCTGATGACTGGTGTGGAAAAGTTTAATAAATCAAGTCTTCATCATGTCAAGACAACAGAGAAATGTGTTTTACCAAATTCAGAAGGTAGAGTGACATAATTAGGGCTGTGTTTCTTGTTAACTGCTTGTTGCTTAAACCTTGGTATTTTTGTTGAAGCTTGAGGTTTGTATAGTACAGTAGGTAAATGTTTTGCACAAAATCTGATTTCAACAAAAGAAAATCAAAGTACTTGATACTAAATACTATACAATCTGTAGATATTTAAATCATTACTATGGAATAAGATGTATATATATATTTTTTTCAAACTGATTGTTTACACATTAGGAGCCACATTCATCTAATTTCTGTAAAATGCACAAGTTTAAGTATCATAAATTAAATTACTAGGATTCAATGGTCTTGAAAAAATGTTAACTTGCTCTGCAGAGTAAAAGTATTTTCTGTTTTTTTTTGCTGATGTATTTTTTATTTCTATCTGATAGAACAGTAATATGAGTTTTCATCTTGATTTATAATATATTTTAGGGGAGGAGAAAAGATTGAATAAATCTGATTGATTGGCCGTAAGAGAAGAGGTTGCAGAAGAATGCTAAATTGAAACAATAAGCAATGATCACATAGCATGACTTTGTGGAAGTCTTGAATGTCCTTCAGTTGTTTGTGTATAAATATATATTGTTGTTTTGTGTTCTATCACTGAGTGGGTTTTTTTGGATTACTTGATAAAAATAATGCCAAGTCCAGTCCATATAATAATAAATTTATTGATTTCTTCAATACACAGTCCAACTTCACTTGTAGGCCTAACTTCAAATACAATGTTTCAACAGAAATTCTGAGACTAATGATACATAAGCCTAAATTATTTAGCTTTGATTAATAAACAAACATAAAATTACCTAATAACTGAATAATAGGATGGATTTAAAACTCTCACTACCAACACTGATACTGAACTGACTCAATCAATGAATACTCAATAACTTATTAACCACTCTATGACTGATAAATAATTTTCTAACTCATTGTTTTTCTGCCTTTGTAAGATTTGATTGTTTTTAAAACACACTGTAGATATGGAACCATGATTTTTAGCATTATAAACCCACAAGCATACTGTTGAATCTTTGTTACTACTTGAAGTTATTGTTCTGTGTCAGGGTTATCAGGAAAAATGTATGTTCAGTATATGTTTGCATGTATATTATATGCTCATGTGTAATGTTTTCTATGTGAAGATTCCTTGTGTCAAGTTTTGAGTAAATTTTGCTAATAAGATTTTGCTAATAATATTATGCATTGAACCACAAATTAATCTTTCCTCAAATATGGGAAAAAGGTGCTGCCTGAGAATTATAAAACAAACTACTTTTCAGAACATGAGAAGTATAGGGTTATTCTTTTGGAATGGAAGTGGCTTCACTTACTTGACTTCAAAGAGATTTTTATAGATACCAGCTTTTCTGAAAACAACTTATAAGCTGACCACATTAATCTACAAAAATTCTATATTATTAGATAAATTTTGGAATCTGACTAAAAATACAAAATACTATGAATGCCAACAAAATAAAAATGAAACCTGATTACAATGCTTATATGAGTTTTTCTATCCTTTGTTGAGAATTACAAACCTGACCTGTCAAAACTGGTCAGGTTTTTTATGTTTTGTTAATTCTTTAATCATCTGGCCATTATTATGCTAATGTATTATTGCATTTTATAAATTTGCACAAAGTATTTTTCTTTTAAACTGCTGTACAATGAGCTAGGAATTCTAGCTAAGGTCCTAATTAAGGCATGCTGTTTTGTATTGGAGTTCAGTTAGTAGTTTTCTGCCAATTAAGAACACATTAGTTGAGTGATTGGCAAATTAAACAATCTGTACAATATGTTTTCAGTTCAGCAGTTGACCCCATGTTTAATTCTAAACTCAAAAGTAAGAACTAGTTTGAGTGGTACTTTAATGTGATAGTTTATTATTGTGAGTGGTTTGTATGAGCTTAAGACTTCATATGTGTAGCCCAGGGATTTCAAAGCATAATTAAAATTCTGATCAAGAAAGCTTTGTTATAAGCATAGTATTTTAATATAGGTTATTTTTTTTCTAGAGGCTGCATGATGCAATTTACAGAAATTTCATTAAAATTAAGAATATGGAAACTTTGTGTGGTATGTAGAAATAAGAGTATGGTATGAAAATGAGAATCAATGAAGCAGTGAGTTATGAATAAATCAGTTCAGCACAAGTTGATAAGCTATTCCGTTCCTTATTTCAGTTAGTAAACTAATCAGTGAATGTATAAGTTTGTTTTTATTCATTGATTAACAAGGTAGTTTATTTGTAAGTTAGGTGCACCATTAGTTTTGGAATTTCTATTGAAATGTTGTTTAGGAATTAGTAATACAATTGAATGTAGCCTATAGCAACTGGTACTGTAGAAATAAGTTAACTCTATAATTGAATAGAGTTGTTTAAACATTTGTTTAACAACAAGTAAAAGCTTGGAATGGTCTATTCTTTCATTGGGAGTGTGTCTTTGATAATCCCATATTACTTTTACTTGGCATTGTTTTGACCAAATAATCCCAAAGAACTTGACCAGTGAAAGATCATGTTACAACAATGAATGAACTTCAGTGTGTACAAACTTCTTAAGTCATAGTTTGAGAATACCGCAAACTTATGTGCTTAAATCACAAGATATATTATTTTTTATTGACTATTTTGTTGAAAAACAAAGATTTTGATCAGTACATGAAGTGTTGCACCTAGTTTCATAACATGAAAGCTACTAGTGCAGTAATTACTAACTTATTCATAAAAGATACATGAAGCCTTGCTGCTGTCATCTAAACCTACCAACTAACTGCTGTAATATTATATTACTTCTTTGTCGGTTGTCAGTTTAAATAAGTTTACACTTATTTTAATAAAAGCTTTCATATCAGTGTCAGTTTCTAACACTTAGTTACAATGAATATAACGTCAAATTTCTATTATGAATTTGTTTTTTTCTAAAATATGATGATTAGTGAAGAATAGATCAGAGCCCCATTTAGATTTGATTTTATTCTGCAAAACAGTTTACATTTATGCACTACCAGAAATATTTGGTATGGCAGCTAATGAAAATATGAGATGAATTAATCAAATCTTACAACACATAGTGAGTAGGAATTTGTTGTTTTTTTTATCATTTCTACATTTTAACTTACAGATATTGAACGAGAAAAGGATCAGCAGAAGCTGCTAGAAGAAATCAAAAGCTTTGACACTTCTAATATGAAGCACAGTGAAATGACAGTGAAAAATCCTTTACCTACTAAGGATGGTAAGACAAGTAGTTCCAGTATCTCATAATCAAGGAAAATAACATGTGATTTAATAGAATAATAATAAAAAGATAGTTAAATAAGTTAAATACTATCTCAAGAAAAATAACATCAGTTGGGAGATTACAAAAGCAAACTTACACTGCATTCATAGTTTAATTCAGTATTGTTACATGTATAAAGTAAAATCAGTGTTCTTTTAAAATAGATGTAGGCTGTGTATTCAACATGTGGATTAAGTTTTTCATGAAATTCTGCTATTTTCCTTAACTTTCAGACAATGTTTCTAGCTTCATGCTGAGCTAGTCGTTTATCAGGTCTGATGAAGAACTAAGCATGAAGCTGGAAAGTCAAGAAAAATGGCAGAAAAATCACTATTACAAAAACAAAAAACAAGGCTATTCAGCTTAAAGCCGTTTTTTTCTATTAATACATAACCTTTCTAATGGCAATTCCAAAGATAATCAACTTTCAACATTTATATATTTTTCTTGTAGCATATATGTTAACATTTCAGATTTGTAATAACCAGATTTCTGATGTAGACTCTGAGTTAAATAGAATTATATGTAAATTCTTATATGTCAATAAGAATAGATAATCTATTCTCAGGCTATAGCACTAGCTATGTGCTGGAGATAATTAAAGTGCATAGTCCTATGTACTATATTTTGCTTTTGTGTGGTCTAATGATAGATTTGTTATGGCTGTGATTTTATGGAAGATTTCTGTGTCAATGAAACTATATAGTGTTATTTGCTAACTAAAAAAGTTTCACAACATATTTTTTTTATTTACTATAGTACATATCCTTTTATTTTGAATTATGCTTACTTTATATTACAACAGGTATCTACAATTTTTACAATGAAAATTAAATAATTATTACCATTGGTGGGATCTTTATAAATTGCAGTCTTATTTAGCTCATACTCTCTCTTTTTAACTATTATAACTAAAACAAGCAAACATCACTTTCTCCAGGGATGTTGTTAGAATGTACATGTAAAAAAGGTAACTGAACTAGATCTTCCTACAACACACCTCAACCGCTATACAGATAACTTTACAATCTACTCAGAATAACACTTAAGTAACCATTTGAATAATGAGTGCAACAGTTTTACCTGCTGGAGCTAACCAACATATACAAATGAAATTCTGTGGTATTTTGGAAACTATTTAAATGAACTATTAGAATTTTAAATATTTAAGAAAAGAAAGATTTCTGAAAAAAAGTCTTTCATTTATATTCAATATATTTTATACTTGAAAGCCAAAATAGAACACCAACCTGTTAATAATTTTTTTTTTTTATATATATATATATATATATATATAA